CATTGTGTTTTCCCAAAAATAAGAGCCTGACTTATTTATTTTTTGCCACCAAAAAAGGCACCAGGTCTTATTTTCGGGGGATGTCATCGACTGACCAACCTCACTTGCGCACGTCGCCCCCCACCCAGCCTCCTTTTCGCTGTCAGAGTCCTTCAGGAACTTCTTCTGCAGCCGGCAAGGTTTTCCTGAAGGCCTCTACAGCTGAGAACAGAGCTCAGGATCGATCCAGAGCTTTGTTACCAGCTACAGAGGCCTTCAGGAAAGCCTTGCCGGCTGCAGAAGAAATGGGCCGACAAGGTAAGTCTCGGGGGATGCGAGGTCTGGCTACAACTGTCCGAAGGTAAGTAGTAGAGCAGTTCCACCCCCCCATCCCTACCCTAGCTTAATTTTTACCTGTGAACTCTGGAGTCGGCGAGACCTTAATTAGGGTTTATATTGGGCACACATGTAAAAATCAAGCTAGGACTTACTTTCAGGGTAGGTCGTATTTACGGGGAAACAAGGTATCAAGTTTCCACATCAACAAAAGCATCTCAGACTTTGTTTTCAAGAGACAGAACGGGGCCAAACTACATGTTACGCTCTCTCTGTGGAGATATCCACTCTCTTAAAAACAAGGTTTCTAGACAGCCTTCGTTGACTTCTACTGAATTCTACCATATTCTATCTATATCTATTTATATCTATCTATATCTATATGTCTGTCTGTCTGTCTGTCTCTGTCTGTCTATCTATTTATCTGTCTATATCCATCTATCTATCTATCTATCTATCTATCTATCTATCTATCTATCTATCTATCTATCTATCTATCTATCCATCCATCCATCCATCTATCTATCTATCTAATATCTATGTCTATTTCTATCTATATCTATCTATCTATCTATCTATCTATCTATCTATCTATCTATCTATCTATCTATCTATCTATCTATCTATCTATCTATCTAGCTATCTATCTATCTATCTATCTATCTATCTATCTATCTACCGTGTTT